GCGTTATTCGACACTCGAGCAGATAAGGGGGAACAGTCTTAAAATGATTGTTGTTGTTGTTGTTGTTGCTATTTGGCGTCGTCCCCCCCGCGACCCGGCCCGCGACCCACCCGCGACGCACCCCGCGACCAGCCCGCGACCCACCCCCGACCCACCCGCGACCTACGTCTTGACCCACCCGCCCCGCGACCCAGCCCGCGACCCAACCGCGAACCACCCGCGACCCACCCGCGACCCACCCGCAACCCACCCGCGACCAACCCGTGACCCTTCCCGCGACCCACCCGCGAACCACCCGGCACCCACGCGACCCGCCCGCGACACCCGCGACCCACCCGCGAATCACCCGCGACCCAGCTCGCGACCCAGCTTGCGACCCACCCGCGTCCCACCCACAATTCTTTAACGAAAACACGGCGTTTGCGGCGGGCTTGTTGTATGATTTGTAAAAGTTAGGCGCCTGCGGCGGTGTTCTTCAGAGCCTCGCAGACAGCAGACGCCCCCGCCGCCCCCTCACTCTCACCCGGGACAGCGGGGTGCTACGCGTTCGTATTCGCGCCGTTGGTGTGGATATTGTTTGTGCGGCCGTAGCGTATACCTCATTCTACCCAGGCTATTTGTGTTATGGCATGCTTGCGCTTTCCCTGACCAGCGAACGCGTGATGGGGTATCAAGTGCATGTGGACATCTAGGTTTTGGGCACAAGGGACAAGACTCGTTTGGCTTTCTGAATGCGACGAGCGCGTCGTGTCGTGTTTTGGTTGGTTTCCAGGTTGCGAGCAATGTGCCGCGCCGCCGCGCGCCGTGCCATGCTTGATCTCCACAGTGGGAGAATGATGCCTTGCCGTGCCGTGCCTGGTCGACTTGGACGGCGACGGCGACGATTATGGTTTCGTCTGACGGCGACGATGGCGACGGCGCCGGCGCCAGCGATAGCGACGAGTTCAACGACCACGACGGCGACGACGAAGTCGTCGACCAGGAGGGCGAGGAAAACATGCGTTCTTGTTCCACCGCCGACCAAGCCCTGGTTTTGTCGCCGCTTCCGCCGCGCGTTTGGCCTGTCACTGCGATTGTAGGTCGCCGAGGGTTTCGTGGTACCTGAGCTTGTGAGACACGCGGATACGTTCGGCGCCGAAGGCTCAGTGGAAATGCCAAGTCGTGCGAGACGCGCGATTTGGGTGTCGATGCGCTTTAAGAAGTTGCTAGCCCGCGTGGACCTCAGACAGTAGGCTATTGCAATACATGCGGTGCAATCGAAGTTGTGCAGCGTACGCGTTGCAACTTATGTAATGCAGTGTATGTGGTGCAATCTACGTGGTGCAGTTAATCTTTGACCGTTTTGAAGCTGTCCTCTCCACTGCTCGTGGAAACATCCCACCCTCCCACACGCAACTTGGTCGCAAGACCTCTTAAGACAAGACCGAGACGGTAGGTACCGCATGACACTTGGCCACGACACCGACGCCGACGACGTCAGCGACGACGACGACGACGGCGCCGCCGACACCGACTGCGACGACACCGACGACGACGACGACGGCCTCCGACGACGACGACGACGACAACGACGCCGACGCCGACGACGACGAAGACGACGACGACGTCGCCAACGAAGACGACGACGAGGGAGGAGGAAGGACGATGACGGCGACAACGACGACAACGACGACAACGACGAGAGAGGAGAGAGGACGGCGACGACGCGAACGACGAAGACGGAGGAAGGACGGCGACGCCGACGTCGACAACGACGAGGGAGGAGGGAGGACGACGACGACAACGACGACGACGACGACGGCGACGAAATACGGGGGACGACGACGAGACGCCGACGACGGACGACGACGACGACGAGGGAGGAGGAGGAAGGACGACCAAGGCGACAACTTCGACGGAAACGACCTCGACGCCAAAGAGGCCGACGACGACGACGAACACGAGGAAAAACAGAGGACGACGTAGGCGACGACGACGACGACGCGGGAGGAGGGAGGACGGCGACGACGACGACGACGACGACGCAAGAGCGCGCGTGCACGCTTTTGTTGAATATCCGTGTTGCGAAACCTTGTGTTTTTGTACGTTTCTTGGACACACGATTTTGAAATCCTTCCGAAACCGATGGGTTCTGAAGGTTTTCGGCATACGCGCGTGACGACGCGCGCGTCTGCACTTCGTCCCGTTTTTTGCAGAGGATTCTCGCGACGGCACGCGCGCACGGGCGTTCGACAGATTTCGACATGCGCGCGCGCGACGCCCGTTGAATAGCATTTTTGTGAAAATCTTGAGAACCCTATGGTATTCGTAAGATTTCGCAAGAGCTCGCGCGGAAGTGTGTTTTTTTTTGCTTGTATATATATATATATATATAGCAAATCAGTGTTGCGAAACCATGTGTTTTTGTATTTGTTTGGAAACTCGATTGCGAAATCCTTCTGGCACCGAGCGTTTTTGAAGGATTTCGGTACGCGCGCGCGACGGCGCGCGCGTGCGCACTTCGTCTTTTTTTTGCAAAGGATGAGTGAACAAGTGTTGTTCTAACGCAAAAAAAGTCACCGCATGTGTTTTTTTTCACAAAGGGGACCTCAGGGGGGGGACCCGGCTGGCCTGGGATAGTGCAAATTCATATTTAGGGTGGACATGTGGTCAGAATCATATAAGAGTTACATATCCGAAAGCGGGGCCGATAACGCCGGGGGGGGGTAGATCCTATCCTGTTTTTAGAACGGAGAATACAGGATAATCTACGCGACGCAACCCACGTAACGCAACATATGCGGTACGACCCATGTGATGCAACGTCTGCGACGCCACTTATATAATGCAACAGTTCCGGTGCAACGCATGTAGTGCAAAGTGTGCGATGCAACCGGTGCAATGCAGTCATTGCGGTGCCAACTCTGTGGTGCAATGGCGCGATGCAACCTTTGGATTGCAGTACGTGCGGTGCAACGTATGTGGTGCAAGGTATGCGATGCAGCCTATGTAATGCAGCCCGCGCGGTGCAATCTACGTGGTGCGATGTACGCGACGCATTTGATTTTCAAAGCGCGCTGGCACATCCCATGCTTTTGCAAACATCCGGCCTACCCACCCGCAACTTGGTTTGCAAAACCCATGCGGTGGCGATTGCGACGCACGCGCGGCGTTGGCTGGTGCATCTCTGCGGCCGTGCCAACCATGGCACGCGCGCGCAGCGGCCAGGTAGTTTGGCGCCGCCGACGCGGCCGCGGTGGCGCTGACCGCCAGGCACATCCCAGCGGGCACTTCACTGCGAGTCGGCGACTTGGGCGGGCGCGGTATCATGGCGACGCTGGCAACGGTGGACATGATCATGCTAGTAGCAACGTTGGTGGCGATGTTGACACCGACGAGTGCGCGGCCACTGCGGGCGCTGATGCTGATCACGCCGACGACGATGACGGCGTCTTCGCGTCCGTGATGAAGGTTTTGGAAATATTTCGGCATGCGCGCGCGGCTGGCGCGCGAGAGTGGCCCGCATGTTTTATTCGACGCGGATCGTGCCCCCCCCCAGCGCGCGCGCAAGGGCGTGCGGATGAGTTCGGCATGCGGCGCCAAAAGCCTATTTGGTAGAGTGTCGTGGCAATTTGAGAAAGCGTATGGTTTTTGTGTTTAAAAATGCTCCAAAGCGCGAGCGCACGTTGCTTTGCATATTGATGTTGCGAAACCATGTATTTCTTGTGTGTTGGTTGGGTATTCGATTTTGGAATCGTTACGGCATCATTCGTTTTGGACGGATTTCGGCATGCGTGCGCGACGACGACGCGCGCGTTCTTCCCGTTGTTCTTGCGACAAAAAAATCTCGCAACGTCACGCGCGCAAGGGCGTTCGAACGATTTCGACATGCGCGCGCACGAAATCAGTTGGGTAGTGTGTTTAGAACATGTTAAAGGCACAATGGTTTCTCTAAGGATTCGCTAGGGGTGCGCGCAGTTGTGTTGTTGTTGTTGTTTTTTGTTGCATTGAAAATCCGTTTTGCGAAACCATGTGTTTTGTGTGTTGGACATTCGATTTTGATTTTCCAGCTACGCCGACGGTTTTTGAAAGATTTCGGCAGGGGCGCGCCGCGACGCGCGCCTGTGCATTTCGTCCCATTCGTTGCAAGGTTTTGTTGTGAAACTCATGATTTTTATAAACGAGTGCGCGCGCATAATATTTTGTGCAGAGCGTGGCGGGGGGTCCGTTACCGGTTGGGCTGGCATTGTACGACTTTCTATTTGGAATGGACGATGGGGCGCACACATATGTAGTTTGCAATGCGAACAAGGGGGAATCGATAATCCCGGGGGGGACGTAATGTCTACGCGTCGTTTAGAAAGCAGAATCGATGTACTGCAATATATATATACATATATATATATGAAACATATGTGTGAATTTATGTACTGCGTGTATATATATACATATATGTGTGGTGCATTGTGTGCGGCACAACCTATGTAGTGCAACCTATGCGGTCCAACGTATGTCGTGCAGTGTATGCGATGCAAGTTGTGTAGTGCAGTCTACGCGTTGCAGTTTGTGTACTGTAATGTATGCGATGCAACCTACGTAATGCAAGTGATGCGGTGCAATGTATGCGATGCGGCGATGGCGACGGGCGGCTGGGGGCGCAAGCTCCAAGGTGCGAAACCCAAGCCTCCGGAGGTTCGTGTCCCAAGCTCCGAGGTGCGAAGCCCTAACCTCCGGAGGTTGCGGTTCCAAATTCCGTGGTGCGAAACCCAAACCTCCGGAGGTTAGAGTTCCACACTCCGGATTCCAGTGTCTACCTCAGCCTCCTGGTTGTTCTGCTCAATGCAAGGGGGTGATCCGTGGTGCCAGGACCATGGACTCGATGGCAGATGATTCTCGCCGATATCAAAGCCACCTTTTTCGGCTTTGTATACCAATGCGGGGAATCGTGGCGTCACGATATACGAGTGCAACGGTCGCCAAGGCTGGGCGTGCAGCTATTCGGGGCTCGGTTGTCCGGGAGTGTGCGTCAACGACCATACAAGTTCCATGGCCGTGTACACGATAGCGGTGCCATCTACGACACCTTTGTTCAATCGAATATACTATGGACTATGGCTAACTGCTTGCTCACTGCAGCTTAATCTGGCTTGATCCGGTTAATCTTGTTCATTCGCCCTTACATCCAGCTTGATCTGGCTCACTGCGCCACACCATTGTTTACCCTTGGTCAACCAACTTAACCTGGCTGAATACTACCTCTAATCCGACCGAGTCGCCCCTTGATCGGGCTTAATCGCCTTCAGGCGTCTTCACAAATTCTTGCGAGGAGTTGCCTCCTATCAAACCATTAATGCTGCAGTTTTCGCGGGGGAGATAGGCTTAGGGGGGATGCGTCGACCCCCGACCGCCCACTCATCGCCGATAGGGGCCCGATAGCCCGCCCCGCCTTGGAACGTGGTTCGATACCAGGGGTGCGTCGTCGTTTTATTGGCAATGTATGTCCGATTGCAGGTCGATGCGGCGTTCTCGGAGCTGGCCCCCCGTGTTATTGCCCTTTGCACCCTATGATGACCGACTGCGGGCACCTTGGCTCAAGCTTCGAGGTTTCAGTCTTGACCCGCACACGCAATCTATATTGGAGCTGCGTAAACTGCTCTTGCGCAGCTTGCCAGGATGGCGGCAACCAGGAAAGCACCATGGAGCATATTCGTGGCAATGCTTCCTGTCCAGGGGGTTCCTGCCGCGATTTCCATGATGGTGCGAGAGCGCATCCACAACGACACCCACAATGACACCCACGACCTTTACAACAGCTCGCGCACGGGTGCCCAGATGGCATCGTGCAGTTGGAGCCAAGGTTCTGCAAGTGGGTGGGCCGCTGAGCCACATTGCCATTATGCTAACTATAACCCTACATGCAATTCTGCGAACAATGGCAAATACTATTATGGCAACCCCTGGGATACAGTCGGCGGGTACGTCACGAGCTTGGCTGGCTGCAGTGGCGGTTGGTTTTATCATGGCAGCAAGTCTTACGACCGGATATTCACTTGCAATTGCCAGACGACGCCATCTCCAACCTCGTACCCGACGCCCTACCCGACGCCTTACCCAACGCCCTACCCGACGCCTTACCCAACGCCCTACCCCACGCCGAAACCCACGCCGTACCCGACGCCCTACCCGACGTCATACCCGACGCCCTTCCCAACTCCGTACCCGACGGCCTTCCCAACGCCGTACCCGACGTCATACCCGACGCCCTTCCCGACGCCCTTCCCGACGGCGTACCCGACGCCCTTCCCGACGCTCTTTCCGACGCCCTTCCCGACGCCCAGCCCGACTCCCAGCCCGACGTATCCTCTGGGCTGGCCGACGCCACACCCGACGTTTCCTCCTGGATCTCCCATGGCGGGTGGAGCCGGCGGAGGCGTGGCTGCCACTGGTGACCCCCATCTTCAAAACGTTCATGGTGAGCGGTTCGATTTGATGCAGGCAGGCAGGCATGTCCTGATACAGATCCCTCGTGGAATGAGCGCTGCAGAAGCACTGCTTGTCGTACAAGCCGATGCGAGCCGATTGGGTGGACATTGTGTTGATATGTTCTTCCAGCACGTGAACGTTACCGGCAATTGGGCAGAAGCCCAACAAGTTGGGGGGTACCATTACAGCGCGTCGCAGAAACCGAACGAGATTCCGCATTGGGTTGCGCTTGGCCCGGTTCAGCTGAAAGTGGTGCATGGGCAAACTGACGCCGGCATCGTGTACCTGAACGTTTACGTGAAGCACTTGGGGCGGGCAGGGTTTGCCGTCGGAGGCCTGCGGGGTGAAGATGGCCCATCTGGGGCCACCCAAAGGGGCCGCCCCCGGCCAGCCCCCAGCGTCAGGGGCGACGATGGGGGGGGGGATCGGCACAGGGCGGACGCGCCGCCCCCCAACCTGCCCAGTGATCGCCGACAGGGGCCCGAGAGCCCCAACCTGCCCGGGAAGGTGCGGATGCGCTGTCGGAGGCCCAATCGCCTCCTTCAGGGCGTGGCCCCTCACAGGGGCCTGGAGACAGCCCTGCCGGGGGCTCGAAGAAGAAGAAGAAGAAGAAGAAGAAAAAGAGGAAGAAGAAGAAGCAACCATTTAAACATGATAAACTTTTGGAGTTCCGCGCAGATTTCTTGCATCCCCGGCGGCGCCTCCGGCGCCACCCCTGGCGCGCTCCGCGCGCCAGCGGCGGGAGGTCCAGCGCGGATCCAAGAAATCAGGGTGGAGCGCCATAAGCTTATGCTTCTGTGTTCTTGGTCTTCTCACAGGGGCGACGCAGCCAAACGGTTTTTGGAGGAGGAGGAGGAGGAGGAGGAGGAGGAGGAGGAGGAGGAGGAGGAGAGGAGGGGAGGAGGAGGAGGGAGGGGGAGGAGGAGGAGGAGGAGGAGGAGGAGGAGGAGGAGGAGGAGGAGGAGGAGGAGGAGGAGGGAGGAGGAGGAGGAGGGAGGAGGAGGAGGAGGAGGAGGAGGAGGAGGAGGAGGAGGAGGAGGAGGAGGTCCGGTCCGGTCCGACACACTCGAAGTCAGCAAGCCGATCGATATGTAGAGGAATATGCAGTGCCGCGATAAAGTATCGCCAATCAAAGCTTGCCAACGTGAGCGACGCGACCCGTTATGTAGACAGGTCAAAGCCCCACACCAGCAGCGGGACGCACCGACGTGGCGTCTCCGCTGGGCCTGGGTCGCGGCAGTGCTGAATCTGCCCCAGCTGGCCGCCCTCACAAGACATCGCGCGTCAATGGAAGAAGGGGGCGGAGTGAAGCAGGGGCAGGACAGCGCCGCACCGTGAGCACGCTCGCTGCATTCGTCGACAAGGGCGTACAACTGGCGAGCATAGAAATTGCGCCAGCATGCGATTACCAAGTGTGCGTTGCGACACTTCGGCCGCATTTCAAATGCCCGCCGAGCACGGGAACTAAAATCTGGCGGGGCATTCGTCAGCAGGCGGCCGGCGGCCGCCAAGACAATCCTGTGCCCAGCCCAGAGGAAGGAGAGGAGGAGGAGGAGGAGGAGGAGGAGGAGGAGGAGGAGGAGGAGGCAAGGGGGAAAGCAATGTGCCGCCGGGTCACTGCTTCATCCGCTTAATGCGGGCCTGCAGCTTCCGCTCCCGCTTCGACGCTGGCGCTGACCCCAGCACCTCCTCGCCCCCGGCCTGCATCCACACGCGAACGATGATCTCCACCACTGCCTGACCAAGGGATCCCCCCCTCCACGAGGCGGAACCAGAAACGGTGGCCCTTGTCGCGCGTCTCGTAGGCCCTGAACTCCAGCACCTCCCTCCCCAGCTTCTTGGGCACGTCGTACTTCGTCAGGAATTCTTCGATCTTCTGGTACTCGGGCGGTTTCGCCCCCATCTCCTCCGCGGAAAAGTGCGTCTGCCCGATGAGCGCTGCGGCAATCAGCGCGTGGTGGCAAGGCACTCCGTGCCCGTGGCCCCGTTGGCCCCGGGCCTTCTTCTCGTACTCGCCCACCGCCCCGCGCATCCTGTCGTAGAACGCCTCGCCCACCTCCCCCGGCACCAGGCACGTCTGGTAGAGCGCCGCTGCGTGGTTCCGCGACTCCGCCGCCACGGACGCCAGGAGAATCAGCTCGTCCCTCTCCGAGGCCGCGTCGGGCTCCTCGGTCTCGGTCATCGCAGACTTCGCGGCGCTCCCCTCCTTCTCCTTCGGCTTCGGCAGGAAGTTCTTGTAGGCCTCGCTCATCGGGACGTGCGCGTGCCGGGGCAGGAGCAGAGTGCAGCCGCTCGCGAGCGGCGATTCGGGCACACAGGGCTTCAAGAGCCGGGATAAGCGTGGAAGATACAGTCGTGCGAGAAGCTCTCACTGAGCCAAGATGGACTACACGGATATGGCGTTGAAGTAATGGTAGCGTCGTAAAAACCTTTGCGTCACAGATGGGGCACCCAAGGTAGCCCGGAATTTCCACATCGTGGCGAAAGACACTCCCAGACCCAGAGCAGAACCCTCGGCGAATAGATGCCTCCAGATGCTCGCGGGCGTTCGGCTGGGTAGAAAAAATTGACATGCACACGCAACACTGGTTTGTAACAGTGGCCCTTGCGCCCAGAGCAATATCGCCATGACCCGGAAGACGACTTTGATTTTGATGCGCACGGAGTGCCCCGAGCAACAGAAAACTGCGGCCGCAGCGCTCCGTCTCGAGACCGGGCAGGTTGCAAACGAAAGACGGTGCCTCCACGCGATCAGCGGCACGATCCTGACGAGGGGCGGGTGCCACGTACCCTGGCGGCGGAATGGCCACGGTGCGAGTGCGTGCACGAAGAACGCGAGGATCAATGCCTTGAACCCGTGCGGCAACATCCTCGTCGAAAAATACATGGGCAGGATAACGACAACAAAGTGCAGCGACATCCTCATAATCTGGATGGCAAGATAATGCATCAAAGTCCTCGGAAGCCTGTCTGGCCCATGGGTTCGCGTCCGGAAGCAGAAGGCCCCGGGGGTCAAGCACGCGCCGGCCGTCAATCTCCCCGAATATTGTCAAGATCGATTGCACAAGCCTGCCAGGGGTGGAACACATGACCTGGTACCACCGTATGCGCTCAATCCTAAGCTCGACCTCGGCCTCGGAGAACTTGAGGGCCCAGCGAACGTCCTTGGTGGAAGGCGCAACGGGATGGCCTTGGGAACGCTGCTGGAGACGCGCCATCAAGACACGACGGCCCATGTCGCTCCAAGCGTCATCGATCATGCGAAGGTCAGTGCGTGAAGGGACATAAGCGGCAGCACCAGAAGTAGTAGCACCGATCACCATGGCCCGGAAGGCAAGGACAGTAAACTCACGGGTAGAATGCGCCCAGAATCGCTTAAACCAGCCAAAGTTGCGCCGGGCAGCCTCGATGTTCTTCGCACGTAGGGTACTGAGGTTGCACCGCATATTTCGCCAACCACCCAAATGCCTAGCAGCAGAAACGACCCGTCCAGGAAAACCACAAGGACCAGAATAAACTCGACGAAGAGCGCCCTGAGAACCGGGGCCAACAAAGTTGACGACGACCTCGCTTTTGCCCCTGTGCTGCACGATCAAAGGGGCGCCGGTAGAGTTCAAGAGAGCCTGGTCCAGTCGCTCGGAAGCAAGACGGCACCGACACAGAGCTGTAGGGAACGAGTCGGCCACCAGCGTAGTCTTGGCATCGTCGGCAAAAGTTGAGGTCCCGACCTCCGCCTGGCGCGCAACGCCACAAAGCTCCAGCGACGAAATAATGCGGAGCTCGGCGAGGCTGTTCACATTCCGGTCGATCTTGGGATGGAAGACGCCGAGAAATTACTTCGGCCCAGCGAGGTGCCCCATCCGAACACCGGAGCCAATCAAGTACCACGTCTGTGTTCCGTCGGCGGTGTCAGCGCGGACCAAAGCGCACTCCAGCTCGTTGAGGAAAATCTCGCGCACGAGCGGGCAAGAATCGAAGGCCCCCTGAATGTGCGATTCAAGCTCGGACGTGTGAGGGCAACAGAAAGCGTTGCGCATGTCAAAGAACAGCTCGGACGTGCCACGGCCCATGGATTGCAAGCGAAAGGCAAGACACGTTGATGCGGCAATGGACTCCTCCCTTCGACGGCAGCGGGAATAGCCAGTAGCGTAATCTCTATCCAAAAAATGAGCCACGGGCCCACCACATCGCCATGTAAGCACCAGGCAGAGCGCAAAAAAGATGAAGACCCCGTACCGCGTCCCAGCCAGTGGCCCCATCTTTTTTTGGTATCTCGACTAACCAAGACGAATGCCAGCGAAGTGGAGCTTGTCGACGAAATCGGACCAGGGCGAGTAAGAGTAAAGACGCCATTTCAATCCAAGTTGATTCAGAATTCTCGGCACGATATCCCAAACCAGAGCCACGAGACGTAGATACCTGTGGGGAGAAAAGCATCCGCAGAAGTTCATTGGGGATCCCCCATGGCGGCACGCTGCGGCGATAGGCCGCACGAGGAACCTTCTTTCGAACATCGCGGAGATCCCGACGTGCAAGAGGGATCCAATCGCTGAAGACCCAGGGCCGTGAAGACCGTCGAGCAGACAGCACAGCATCGTAGTTGACGTCGCTGGCATTCAGACCACCCTCCTGCGCCGGAAGCCGGAGGCCATTCCCTTCCTCCTGGCTTGTTGCACGAAAATGTGGAACCTGGCGAAAACGACGTCGACGCGGCCCCTCCCCCTGGCCAGCTAAACGAAAGGATAACGTCCAAGCAGTGGCAAAGTCCCTCCGTTCCCAAGCAGCCTGGCAATCTTCCTCGAGTACCCGACGTCGGTGACGTGCGCCCTCCTTGAGCGTCTTGCGGGTCGCCGTGGAACTACGACGCAGCGCGCCCAGGCGAACGATAGCGGCAAGGCTGGACGCGGCGCGACACACGCACAGGATAGACGCCGCGATGACCCAAGGTTGAACGAGCCGACGACACTGAAGAACATCCTGACAACCTGCAGGAACGGGGATAGCGAGGACAGGACGGTGAGCAGCCTGAACGATCGCTGCTTTCTCAGGTTCCGTGAGATAAGGCTTCTTCCAAGCCACTGCTGTGTAGTGTGGAGCAGCCGAGCTCAGGATTATGTCGGTCAGCTTCTGGTCAACTTCGTCAGGGCCACTCTCCCGCGCAGCCAAAACGAGCGAGGGCCACTGCTCCTGAATCGTGTTTTCCACCGCCTGGACGAAGGACGTTTTGTGCGTACCTATTTTACACCCTCCCACAAGCGCCTCTTTGTGCCAGAACCGTCGAAGATGGTGCAAAGACCTCGGGATGCCTGTGAACGCCAAGTGCAGGTCGATTTCGCAGCGAAGAGGACGGTGATCGCGAGCAACAACATCAGGAATCAATTGTAAGACATCGCCCTCATCATGCCACACATCTGTACTCACCAACTTGGGAAAGACGTCGGAGCTCACAGCGATGAAATCGACGATGCTGGTGCTGCCGTCGGGCCCGAAATACGTCGGCCCGCACTCCCGGAACGTGTTCACCAGACGCATCTCCGAGCCAAGCGCCGAGAGGAGCTGGTGGCCGTTGAAATTGCATTCCGCGGGATTGAAGCCGCCAAACGCAGGATGAACGAACGGACATCGCACACGAACGTTGTTCAGATCCCGGCCGTACTCCCATCCCAAGTGCCCGTTGGCATCCAATAACCAGATCTCCGAAGTGCGGGAAGCCGAGCACAGTGCGCTGCTTCCCCAACCATGTGAACACCTGCTTCGAGACGTAGCGGCCGTGGTCGGACTTAGGGCTGACAGGGGCGATAGCGACAAGTACGAGAAGGTCGAAATTGCGCCTGCGAATGTGGACCCCGCCGCAGCGACCTTGCAAGTGCTTGGGGGGAGTCAACACCTGAGCCCAAGAATTCTTTGGGAAATAGTCGCGCCGGAACAACAGCGTACATCCAGCCGATAAGTTCGTGCAACTGCCCCGAGTAGTGGGAAACTTGAGTCCAACATACGAGGAGGAAGAAGAGGATCCAGTGACCTCGACGAACCCGGTGGAGAGACCGGCGAACCTGTCATGAGTCCCGCACAAGCCGATGATGTGGGCGCCAGCCATCACGTCGCATACATCCTGGAGGCGGCCATGCTGACGCATGCTGAGACAGTTGTACTGCACAAGAGTCAAAGCCATGGCAGCAAGCGAGCCCACGGGGGGCAAATGGCATGATACAGTATCAGAAAGGTCGTGAAGCGTTGAAGCGCCACCGGAGCATGCTGCGGCTTGGGCGCAAATTGCTTGAGCCAAAATGGCTTGAGCCAAAATGGCTACGGGCGGGAGGAGGAGGAGGAGGAGGAGGAGGAGGAGGAGGAGGAGGAGGAGGAGGAGGGGAGGAGGACAGGGCAGGGGCCTGGGCCCAGCCCTGCGGGGCTCCCTGGGCAAGTCTTCGGTCAGGCCCGCGGGGCCCAGGCCTCTTCCCCGAGCTGGTGTGGCCTCGCCGGCGCCTTATGCGCCCGCAAGAGCCCAGATTTGGGCCTCTGCGGGTCGGGCCTGCCCCTCCGCAGGAGGAATATCTACAAATAGTAGAGGAATAGTCTGGGGACGATGTTTGGAGCATTTTCTTGCCCAACCATCCTGTGGTGCTGGGTTCTCGTTTTGAAGCGACAGCGCCCCGCGTTGAACTCCTCCCGCTGCCGCCTCTCTCCTCTCCTCCTCCGCCTCCTCCTCCTCCTCGTCATCATCATCATCATTATCATCATCATCATCATCATCATCATCATCATCATCATCATCGTCATCGTCATCGTCATCGTCATCATCATCATCGTCATCTTCATCGTCATCATCATCATCAGCAGCATCGTCATCTTCATCGTCAGCATCATCATCAGCATCATCATCAGCATCGTCATCATCGTCGTCATCAGCATCTTCGTCATCGTTATCGTCATGATCATCACCGTCATCTTCATCGTCGTCATCATCATCGTCGTTATCATCATCGTCATCATCGTCATGATCACCATCGTCGCCATCATCATCGCCGTTATCGTCACCATCATCGCCACCAATTTCGGACACCCCTCACCATAGGGAGCTCCGCCGAAGGCCCCAGTGGCAGCGCCCGCATGCGGTTCCATTCCCATTTCGGCACACCCCTCACACGTTTCGTGGCCCCATAGGGAGCTCCACCGAAGGCCCAAGTGGCAGCGCCCGCTTGCAGTTCCACCTCCATGTCGGTGTGCCCCTCGCACGTTTCGTGGCCCCATAGGGAGCTCCACCGAAGGCCCAAGCGGCAGCGCCCGCATGCGGTTCCATTCCCATGTCGGCACACCCCTCACACGTGTCGTGGCCCCACAGGGAGCTCCACCGAAGGCCCCAACGGCAGCGCCCGCATGCGGTTCCATTCCCATTTCGGCACACCCCTCACACGTTTCGTGGCCCCATAGGGAGCTCCACCGAAGGCCCCAGCGGCAGCGTCCGCATGCGGTTCCACCCCCATTTCGGCACACCCCTCACACGTTCGTGGCCTCATAGGGAGCTCCACTGAAGGCCCCAGTTGCAGCGCCCGCGTGCAGTTCCACCTCCATGTCGGTGTGCCCCTCGCACGTTTCGTGGCCCCATAGGGAGCTCCACCGAAGCCTCCAGTGGCAGTGCCCGCGTGCAGTTCCACCCCCATGTCTGTGTCCACCCCCATGTCTGTGCGCCCCTCAGACGCTTTGTGGCCCCGTATGGAGCTCCGCCGAAGGCCCCAATGGCAGCGCCCGCATGCGGTTCCACCCTGAATTTCGGCACACCCCTCGCACGTATCGTGGCCCCAAAAGGAGCTCCACCGAAGGCCCTGCCCAAGCGGCAGCGCCCGCATGCGCTTCCACTCCCATTTCGGCACACCTCTCACACGTGTCGTGGCCCCACAGGGAGCTCCACCGAAGGCCCCAATGGCAGCGCCCGCATGCGGTTCCACCCTGAATTCCGGTGTGCCCCTCGCACGTTTCGTGGCCCCATAGGGAGCTCCACCGAGGGCTCCAGTGGCAGCGCCCGCATGCAGCTCCACCTTCCATTTCGGTGAATCCATCGCACGCTTCGTGGCCCCGTAGGCAGCTCCCCCGAAGGCCTCAGCGGCAGCGCCCGCATGCGATTCCACCGAACCCCTGACACGTGTCGTGGCCCCATATGGAGCTCCACCTAAGGCCACAGTGGCAGCGCCACATTTTGGTACACCCTTCACGCGCTCCGTGGCCCCAGAAGGTCCACCGACGGCAATCTTCACCACGACGGCACCCACAACTGCCTGTGCTCGGGCCATCCGCCAGGCGAATTTTCCTAGATGTAAGAAGCTATGTTTCATACTTGTCCTCGAACACCTGCCTGTAGGGGGACATGCCCGACCCAAAGCCAGACCCGCCGGGGCCCGCGCGCGCTCCGCTGGCGGCCCGCGGGCTCCATGCCCCCCGCGCCGGCCGGGCCCGACGGGCCCTCGAGGACCCGCGACGGGGCCCCGCAGCTCTGGCTCCGGGCCCCCCCCGCGAGGCTCCTGCGCGCCCCAAGGGGTCCAGATCCAGGCCTGCCCGGCTCCGCGCCCCGCCCTCAAACGACGCGAAGATCGGGACAAAATCGGATCGGGATAACTCGAAATCTCTGAGAATCGGCGGGTTTGGAGGATGTATTGGGCGCCGCGGCCGCTCCAGAGCGTTCCGGAACGCTCTGAGAGCGCTCCGGAACGCTCTGGAGCGATTTATCCCGATCCTAGCCCTGTTTTACGCCCCGCGCCCGCCTGGCCTGGCGGGCCCCACGGGGCCCGGTTCTGGGCACCGACCCGTTCCAGGTTCCAGAATCATCCTGGAACCGTTCCGGGGTGCAGCCTGGAACCTGAAGCGAGCGACTCTCCGTCTGGGCGCTCTCGGGAGCCCTGCGGGCCGCCTCTCGGGGATGGGGGGGTGCGCGCGAGCTCCCCCAAAAAAGGCCATGTTCCAAAAAGGCCATGTTCTGCGCTGGCCTGGCCTGGCCTGGCCTCGCAGGCCTAGGTATTTAGACTCGCGGCGGGGCCCAGCAGGCCTAGACATCCCCGCTCTCTCGCTCCCTCCTGGCAGGTCTACTGGGGGAGGACGACCATCAAGACGCGAGCACTCCTCCGCACGACTGCGCGATGCGCACGGAGCTGCTCGAGCACCCCGTGTACCCGGATGATCCCGGCCATTCCACGTCTTCTGCTGCGTTGGCATCCTTCGCTTGACAGCGTTTGTGGTCCTCCACTGAATGAAGGAGCGGCTGCGACAACTCAGGGTTCCAGCCTTTGGTGACTAATTGCACCCCGCTCGTTTTACTTTTGACTAATGTCACCCCGCTCGTGCCATAGGGAGGCTCTTCAATTGTCTGCACACCACTTTTGACTAATGTCACCCCGCTGAGCCCTTCGTTGGGCAAACACCACGTGCTCCCTAAGATGGACCACGACCCTCTGATTCGGCCGCGCGAGAAAAAAGTGACGAATGACCCAGCCATATGCCATGCAGGCGGGACCATAGGAAGAACGGCCACAACAACGTAAATGTTCTTCTGGATGCGTGAGTCATGCGTGCGGAGCTACTTGAGTTGGCGTGCCTGCGCGGTCAGACGTCATACGGTCGTAGTCGTGATAGGTCCTACGTTGCAGTTGCATCCTTCGACTGTTATGGGGACCACTCGACACTCAACCGTTCAATTCTAGCCACCAGGTCAGGCTGTGCCCGACTCGCGAGGGGGAAGAACAACACTGGAATCCGGAGGTTAGGGTTTCCTGTTTCGAAACCTCGGAGGTTAGGGTTCCCTGTTTCGGAACCTCCCTAAACAAAGGGAAACACGAGGGAAACAGAGAGGACACAGGGGAACACATGGGAACGTAGGGGAACACAGGGGAACACAATTGGAAAACAAGGGAGACCGGAGGGCAAACGGATGGACAACGTAGGAAAACAGATGAGTAATTGAGAAAAACGGAGGGAAATTAGTGGACATCGGAAAACAAATGGAGCGCATTCGGAAAACAAAGAGAAAACATAGTGAAATCAAAGGGAAGACAGGGGAAAACATGTGGAAAACCGAGGGAACACCAACCTCCGGAGGTAACCTTCGGAGGTTAGGATTTCCTATTTCGGAACCTCCCAAATCAAAGGGAAACAAAGGGAAACAGAGGGGAACAAATGGAACATGGTAAAACAGAGGGAACGCAGAGGGAAAACGGAGGGAACCCTAACCTCCGGAGGTAAGCGTTGTTTATTTCGGAGCTCCACTAAACAGAGGGAAATTCTGGGGAATCGGAGGTTGGGGGGTGAGATCAAAGTGGAACGGAGAGCCCCCCTATCGGGAAATCGATGTCGGTTTCGTGTTCGTGCCGTGCGCGCGGGCGAGGCGAAGCTGCGTGGGCGCGGGAGAGGAAATTCTCCTGTGTCTGGGCCGCGGCTGGACCCGTGGTGAGATCGACAGTGAGATCGATAGTGAGATCGATAGTGAGATCGATAATGAGACCGATAGTGAGATCGATAGTGAGATCTATAGCGAGAGATCGATAGTGAGGTCTATAGTGAGATCGATCGTGATATCGAGAGTGAGATCGATAGTGAGATCGATAGTGAGATCGATAGTGAGATAGATCGAGTGGGATCGATAGCGAGATCCATAGTGTAATCGATGGTGAGATGAATAGTGAGATCGGAAGCGAGATCGATAGTGAGATCGATAGCGAGATCGATAGTGGGATCGATAGTGGGATGGATAGTGAGATCGACAGTGAGATCGATTGTGCCCCGTCGGTGTCCCATCAGTGTCCCGTCAGTGTCCCGTGGTTTCACGTGCTAAGATCGATATTGCTATCGAGACAGATATCGATAGTTAGACCGATGAGACCGATAGTGAGAACGATAGTGAGATCGATAGGATGATCGATACTGAGATCGACTGTCAGATCAATAGTGAGATCGATATTGAGGCTTTTTACACTGGCATCGTCAGAACAATGATTACCACTGTTGCCCATTGTTGGCCCCCTCCCCCCCAATCTCCTTATCACCCGCAGGGTGGTCGTATAGGTAGAGGAAGCACAGAAAAACCGATGGAACAGGGAAGGGAAACAGATGGAAAAAGAAAGGACGCAGAGGAACACGGAGGGAACCCTAACCTCTGGATGTGAGTGTTTCCTGCCTCGGAACCTTCCAAACCAGAGGGAAAACACGACAAACCTAAGGAGACAGAGGACAACAGGAAAGCGGAGGGAACCCTAACCTCTGGAGGTTAGGGTGTCTTAAGTCGGAACCTAACAAAACATGGGGAAACAGAGACAAACAGAGGAAACCGAATGGCATCGGAGGAACACGGAGGTAAGCAAAGGGAGACGGAAGGAAACGGAGGAAAACAGAGGGGACTTTAAATCTTTGGAGGTTAGGGTGTCCTATCTCGGAACCTCCAAAAACAGAAGAAACATAGACAAACAGAGGAACACCGACGAACTTTATCTTGGCGAAAGACCGCTTTCGGTGGAGCTCCATCTGGGACCACGACCCGTGTGAGGGGTGCGCCAAAATGGGCGTTGGGCGCATGCGGCCTGTGCCACTGGGGCTTTCGGTGGAGCTCCCTGTGGGGCCACGAAACGTGTCAGGGGTGCGCCGAAATGGGTGGCGAGCCCCGCATGCGGACCCTGCCGCTGGGGCTTTCGGTGGAGCTCCTTGTGGGGCCACAACCGTGCCAAAATGGGCGGCTTTGACGCATGCGCGCCCTGCCGCTGGGGCCTTCGGGGGAGCTCCTTGTGGGGCCACGAACCGTGTGAGGGGTGTGCCAAAATGGTTGGCGGTCCCCGCATGCGGACTCCGCATGCGGATTTTGCCGCTGGGGACTTCGGTGGAGCTCCCTGTGGGGCCACGATCTTCGTGAGGGGTGTACCAAAATTGGTGGCGGTCCCAGCATGCGGACCCTGCCGCTGGGGACTTCACTGGAGCTCCCGTGGGGGCCACGAACCGCGTGAGGGGTGTGCCAAAATAGGTGGCGGTTCCCGCAGGCGGACCCTGCCGTTGGGGCCTTCGGTGGAGTTCCCTGTGGGGCCACGATCCTCGTGAGGGGTGTGCCAAAATGGGTGGCGGTCCCCGCAGGCGGATTTTGCCGCTAGGGCCTTCGGTGGAGCTCCCTGTGGGGCCACGATCCTCGTGAGTGGTGTGCCAAAATGGGTGGCTGTCCCGGCATGCGGGGCCTGCCTCTGGGGACTTCGCCTCTCGACGATGACGGCGTCCTCGCGTCCGTGATGAAGGTTTTGGAAATATTTCGGCATGCGCGCGCGGCTGGCGCGCGAGAGTGTCCCGCATGTTTTATTCGACGCGGATCGTGCCCCCCCCCCCAGCACGCGCGCAAGGGCGTGCGGATGATCTCGGCATGCGGCGCCAAAGGCTCATTTGGTAGAGTGTCGTGGCAATTTGAGCAAGCGTATGGTTTTTGTGTTTACAAATGCGCCAAAGCGCGAGCGCACGTTGCTTTGCATATTGATGTTGCGAAGCCATGTGCTTCTTGTGTGTTGATTGGGCATTCGATTTTGGAATCGTTACGACATCATTCGTTTTTGACGGATTTCGGCATGCGCGCGCGACGACGACGCGCGCGTTCTTCCCGTAATTCTTGCGACAAAAAAGATTCTCGCGACGGCACGCGCGCAAGGGCGTTCGAACGATTTCGACATGCGCGCGCACGAAATCAGTTTGGTAGCGTGTTCCGAACATGTTCAAAACACAACGGTTTCCCTAAGGATTCGCAAGGAATGCGCGGATTTGTTTGTTGTTTTTTCTGTTGCGTTGAAAATCCGTGTTGCGAAACCATGTGTTTTGTTTGTTGGACATTCGATTTTGATTTTCCAGCGACGCCGACGGTTTTTGAAGGATTTCGGCATGGACGCGCCACGACGCGCGCCTGCGCATTTCGTCCCATTCGTTGCAAGGTTTTGTTGTGAAACTCATGATTTTTTATAAACGAGTGCGCGCGCATAATATTTTGTGCAGAGCGTGGCGGGGGGTCCGTTACCGGTTGGGCTGGCATTGTACGACTTTCTATTTGGAATGGACGATGGGGCGCACACATATGTAATTTGCAATGCGAACAGGGGGGAGTCGATAATCCCGGGGGGGACGTAATGTGTATGCGTCGTACAGAAAAAAGAGAATCTATGTACCGCAATATATATATATATGTATATATGTATAGATATATAGATGTATATGAAACAGGTGTGTGAATATATGTACCGCATATATATATATGTATATGTGTGGTGCATTGTGCGCGGCACAACGTATGTAGTGAAACCTATGCGGTCCAATCTCTGTCGTGCAGTGTATGCGATGCAAGTTGTGTAGTGCAGTCTACGCGTTGCAGCTTGTGTACTGTAATGTATGCGATGCAACCTACGTAATGCAAGCGATGCGGTGCAATGTATGCGATGCGGCGATGGCGACGGGCGGCGGGGGGCGCAAGCTCCAAGGTGCGAAACCCAAGCCTCCGGAGGTTCGTGTTCCAAGCTCCGAGGTGCGAAGCCCTAACCTCCGGAGGTTGCGGTTCCAAATTCCGTGGTGCGAAACCCAAACCTCCGGAGGTTAGAGTTCCAAACTCCGGATTCCAGTGTCTACCGGGAGGGGAGGTAGGAAGCCTCCTGGTTGTTCTGCTCAATGCAAGGGGGTGATCCGTGGTGCCAGGACCATGGACTCGATGGCAGATGATTCTCGCCGATATCAAAGGCACCTTTTTCGGCTTTGTATACCAATGCGGGGAATCGTGGCGTCACGATATACGAGTGCAACGGTCGCCAAGGCTGGGCGTGCAGCTATTCGGGGCTCGGTTGTCCGGGAGTGTGCGTCAACGACCATACAAGTTCCATGGCCGTGTACACGATAGCGGTGCCATCTACGACACCTTTGTTCAATCGAATATACGATGGCCTATGGCTAATTGCTTGCTCACTGCAGCTTAATATGGCTTGATCCGGTCAATCTTGTTCATTCGCCCTTACATCCAGCTTGATCTGGCTCACTGCGCCACACCATTGTTTACCCTTGGTCAACCAGCTTAACCTGGCTGAATACTACCTCTAATCCGACCGAGTCGCCCCTTGATCGGGCTTAATCGCCTTCAGGCGTCTTCACAAGATCTTGCGAGGAGTTGCCTCCTATCAAACCATTAATGCTGCAGTTTTCGCGGGGGAGATAGGCTTAGGGGGGATGCGTCGACCCCCGACCGCCCACTCATCGCCGATAGGGGCCCGATAGCCCGCCCCGCCTTGGAACGTGGTTCGATACCAGGGGTGCGTCGTCGTTTTATTGGCAATGTATGTCCGATTGCAGGTCGATGCGGCGTTCTCGGAGCTGGCCCCCCGTGTTATTGCCCTTTGCACTAGAGCCTATGATGACCGACTGCGGGCACCTTGGCTCAAGCTTCGAGGTTTCAGTCTTGACCCGCACACGCAATCTATATTGGAGCTACGTAAACTGCTCTTGCGCAGCTTGCCAGGATGGCGGCAACCAGGAAAGCACCATGGAGCATATTCGTGGCAATGCTTCCTGTCCAGGGGGTTCCTGCCGCGATTTCCATGATGGTGCGAGAGCGCATGCACAACG